ATGCATAAAGAACATATTTTTGTTTTTTCCTCCTTATTTCTAATTTTCTATTTGATTTTGATCATTTTGAATACTCTGTATATGATTAAAACAGAAGAGCAACATAATGAAATAAAATGTCAAATGAGTTGGGCTGTTTTCAGTAGACACTGAGGGAACCGCTGGGAGGGCCCCCTGGTGCCCACGGGCACCGCGTTTGCAACCCCTGTATTAGGCATTAAAGGGTCTCTACATGAGAACTATGAAATAGACCTTTGAATACCATTATCTGACACGTTCTATTGGTTTAACATGTATCTATCCTGACAGTAAGCACTGCAGTATGTAGCTTACAGGATTTTACAATTTTAAATTGAAACGTAACACTTCAAAAAAAAAAAAATCTCACAGCTTCCCTCAAAGGTCAAAGTGTGGTGCTTTGTTTTAGCATTTGTGTTTCATCAAGGGTCCATCAGCCACCCCCTCATGGCCCTATAGCTATATGATTACTGTTCATTGGGGAGCAATTTTGTTTTCATCAGCAGATTGTTTGCTCAAGGATAATCATCTTTGTTTCACAAGTGTCGCTGCTCAAGACTGATGCGTTGCAGCAATGAATTCAGACACATTCACACATAGAGCCAAGGGACTGGAAATGTGAGCTTGTAGATAAACAGCTTCTTTTATTCTTTCATTATATGCAAGATTACAAAGCGGCTGAAAGAATGACATGAATATCTTCTTTTTCTGGAGCATTCCCTAAGGTTGAGCCTCGCAAACCATGAACTGATACAAAGAGCTTTTGCATAAACACAGAGGCAGTGCAGAAGTGTCAAGCAGTGGTTTATAATTTAGTTTTTAAACATCTAAGTCATGAATCATCAAAAATGTTGATTTGAAATTCCAGATGGGACACTTAACTTTAACAACATATAAAATAAAGGGAGATAGACAGTTTTTGTTTGTAGATATTACAGTTTTATAGTGCATCCACCCCACCTAGCAGATGTCCTGTCTTGCCTGAGGCCAGTGATTCAGCCCCTAAGTGGCTCCCATCATAGCACACACCGTTTCCCCAGGGTGACATAGCTAAAGCCTAATGGGCTCGGTGATGGTGTGTTAAAGCATGGTGTTAATTATAACACCATGCCCCGTTAAACACAATCACAGTAACATCAGGAGGCCCAGCAAAGTTCAGCTTTATGCTGAGGAAACGCGGTAGAATGCTAATTCACTTAGCGTTGAAACTAAAGTGCTCGTTTACTCACTGTTGACCTGATGAGCATTATCATTTAGAATTCATTTTTTGTTCTCTAGGGACAGATTTACTACAATTTTTTTCTTTTTTTGGAAAACAAGATTAATCAAATTCTAATCAGCAAAATATCTAAATAGATTAGCTTTGAGCATTTTGTTGGTTATCCTGTTTGTCACAATCTCTCCTCACCATATAATAAACTTCTCTTCATTCAGTGATGTTCTGCATGAGGTGTTGTCTAGCAGCGCTTTATGAATGTGACTATTGTGTCTTGTTGTTGCTGATTGTTCACTCAGGCAGGAATCATGCTGCTCAGCTGTTCCTCTCAGCAATGTGAAAACTCTCATCTATCTGTGTATGTTTGCATTTATTTGAACATACATATTATAAAAAGTTGTAAAAGCCAAAATTACTCAAATGTTTTCCTTCTTTTAGGTTGTATTACAAAAGTTTCTATCACCTAGCCATGGTTCATGGATTAATAATGCCCCGGATGATTATATCCGTACACCCACCACCAACCTCCCATAAAACCCATTGAAACAATCAATATTTGTCTACTTGTGAGGTAGGGATCTGTAAGGAAATAAAGGAGATATGCACACAGGGTTCACTTTAGAAATTGATGTATCTTGACCGCATCTCTCACTGTTTCTACATTTCTCCTGAGCATCCAAAATACTGCACTTATATTTCTGCGTTGAATCTATTATTAGTCTGTTATTCAAAAGCGAAGTAGGAGAAATTGCATAACTGACACTTTTTACAGCCCCTGGATCCGTCTCTCTAGGTGTTTAACCCTATTTCCATATCAGAAACTTTCACTGGTTTTATCATATCTGCTTTGCAAAATTACATTATTTAGAAACAAAAATAAACAAACAAAATAAGAGGAGCAGTCCAAATCCAATTTAAACTGATGCAGTCTAATTCTAGAGGAAAGGCAATAGGCTTAATGTGGAGAATATCATCTTTTCTTTGTGACACAGAATGAAACAAGAGTTACTTTCTTCAAAAGGTTGTTTTCGACCTAACATTGCCTTTGCCCTCATATCTAATTTCTCCAGTCATTTTGTTTTGTCTTACCTTGTTTATCAGTTGTCTGATGTACAAAGTAGAGACAAATCAGACCTATTGTTGGAGTAAGCCGAGTCCTATCGTGGCTCTGTGGAATGGGACCAGCTTCTGGACCTTCTCTTTCATAGTAAAACAGTCATCCCCTTGATAATAATCACATCTGTAACACATCTGATCAAGGTGCAGCCCAGGTAAATACCTGAGGAGGATACTGTGCTTCTGCAAACATGAATACAAAGATAGCAACAAAAAATATGCAGACTTTTAATTTTTATGCAACCTAAAACATCATCATTTTGTTCACATTTGTAAGTAGCTACGTTATTTTCCAAATTGTTACATTTCAGCAGTGCAATTGCTTTTTTGTAACCCCTATTCTAAACATTATAAGCTTGCATGAATCATATTTTCTTGTACACCAGGAGGAGACGTCTGTTTGTTCGATAAAGTCTCGGCCTTTTTAGCCATGTCCGTGTTTTTATTTAGTTAGTCCTGTCAGCAGTTCCTTTCTCTGGTTCCTGAGATTATTCCTGTTTGGAAATTCTGTAAAATGTCTGGCCTGAAAATGGGCCACTGCAGGAAATTTTGCAACTCTTTGTACTGAAAACAGGGACAATGCAGATGTGTGGAAAACAAGCGGAGAATTTGATTATCTGTTGCTGTCTGCACGTCGGCTCAATCTCACTGCACAATGAACAATGTGTGAAAAACAAAACTAAGCTGACGTTATTTAGTCAGTAAAACGAATGACTGTAAGTGGACACATTTTAATGAATCTTTCAAATGTAAAATATCAGAGGTGTGTGCTTTTTTGGTACCCTTGTCAGCTCTTACATGAGTAATCACTCAAATCGAATGTGATTTATGTATTGTTTAAATGTATATATTGTGCTATGAGGGCTATTTTTGGACATTTTAAAACTCATAAATACAAATGAAAATACACAGCTAATCACTGAATCAATATTCCTATGTTCTATACTGTTGATTCTGAAGTTTGGACATCAAAAAATGTCTAAGTTGTGTCCGTTTTGTGGTATGAGCTGTCCATAAAGGTTAAAAAGCTATAGAAAGGATAATAAGTAAATTTTGCATGAGAGAGATGCTATCATTGTTTTAGAAACATAATGAAATTGTCATTGTCTTGTCTAATTTATTACAGCTGTTTCACGGTGCCTGCTTGGTTTCTTCTAAAGGATAGAGCAAGTCTACACACCTTTGCCCTTAAATCAGCAGGGTGGCAGTGTCAGGGAATGGAGTTATTAGTCATTTCACATGTCAGTGATTTTTAAGGCCACCTTGAGGGTAAGGCAGCTTGATATGCGGGCTACAAGGTGCTGGGATTTGGAAGTCTGTGAGATTTACAGAAAGGGTGTGAAATCAATTTTCCTTCTTAGCTTATGCTGAGCGTCTGTTCGCTTTGTTTAAATTTGCAGTTGTAATCTTGCTTTTCAAAGTTTTGTTTACCATGAAGCTACTTGTTTATTTCTCAAACTGATTTTACTTTGAAATGTATGACCATAACAGTGAACATGTAAAGGTAAAAGCAAATGCTCCACATAAGGGTTTATACCATCTGCTGTTGGGAATCCCTCCTGTTTTTCTCATATTTTCCTTACTCTGTTGAGTTATATTTCTTTTTTAACATCGGGCCAACCTCTAGCTTTTTTTTCTTAGTTGCTTTCCTCTGTCAGCACATGCATTTCTAACAGAAGTTTAAACAAATGAGCGAGGCCCATAGAAAATCATGTTCTTCTATACCATTATAAGAAGGTGCAAACATTAGCTGTGTCTCTAAGTACCTGCAAGGTGGTTAATTTACCTTTGGCCAGTAATTCACAGCTGATGTACTTCAAGCTAATTTTTACAGTAAAGCCTAAGACTAAAATGAATAGCACATGTAATGAAGTTCTAAATGTAGTTCATTTAGACCATTGTCCATTGCTGAATGAGTCTCATTATTTATTAAAAGTAAACTGAAGGTAGAGCAATTTCACAATGAAATAGTTTACCATAAAAAAGCAACCTAAAAGCTGAATTCTAGCCTAATGAATTGAGCAAAGGAAGCAATAGTAAATTGAGCCTCTTAACAATCTGAAATAAAACCAAGGAAAAACCTGAGAGTTGCCATGGACTTATTGAATTCTACCTAGATGGATTTCTAATATTCACATTTTATCACAGTGTGAAAGTTAAGAAAATAGAATGCTATGGATCTTGGTCTTGGTCAACCAAACAGCAACTGTTGCAGCCAAGAACGGTGTATCTTAAAATCTAAAATAACTCTTTACTTCAGCACAAGAATATAGCTCTAAAGCATCTGTTAACAGCTAACAGCTATCCACTTTTAGTACGCTCGTAGTTATCAACTTTCATGCTGATGGAGGCTAGATAGCAGGTTACAGGGAACGCTTATTGTTTTAATATCACAACATTACGGCAACAAAATGTCAACATATATAAAAAAAAAGAGTTGGAATCTCCATTTAGCATTTCAGATTTTAAAGTTTTGGTTGTGACCTGACTTGCACCTGATTGGATAAGATTTTGATTTGGCAAAATTACTACAAAGCTGTTTAAAGTCACTTGCAAAAGATCATTTTGCAGGTTAGAATTCCTACAGGTGTATTCCTCTGTATTTTTTTGTTATTAACAGTAAATATTGGTCTGTTCTCTTTTCTTGTAGGTAACTGGCCAGCTTCTGTGGGATTTGATGTCACCTTTAGATTGGTTTAACTGAAAATGGAAACACTGGAGTCTGAGCTGACGTGCCCGATCTGCCTGGAGTTGTTTGAAGACCCTCTGCTCTTGCCCTGTGCCCACAGCCTCTGCTTTAACTGTGCCCATCGCATCCTGGTGTCTCACTGCTCCACCAGCAAGCCCCTTGAGTCCATTTCAGCCTTTCAGTGCCCCACGTGTCGTTACGTCATCACGCTGAATCACCGCGGCCTGGAGGGCCTTAAGCGCAATGTGACGTTGCAAAACATCATTGACCGCTTTCAAAAGGCCTCCCTCAGCGGCCCCAACTCCCCCACTGAGAGCCGGCGGCTGCAGACGCAGCGGCCCTACACCGCAACCATTAGCGGCACGATAGGTGGAACGATTGGCGGCGGTGGAACAGGTGGTGGAAGTGCTCGCGGCAGCCCAGCCACTTCCAGCCACTCCCATCCACACGCCAACCACACCAATCACGTCAACCACACCAACGCCAACCACAGCCCAGCTGTTGTGGCAACAATGGATCCGAGAATCAGCTGCCAGTTCTGTGAACAGGATCCACCACGTGAGGCTGTCAAGACGTGCGTTACATGTGAAGTCTCATACTGTGACCGATGCCTGCGTGCGACGCACCCAAACAAGAAGCCTTTCACCAGCCACCGCCTGGTGGAGCCAGTACCAGACACCCATATCCGGGGGCTGACCTGTCTGGAACATGAGAACGAGAAGGTGAACATGTACTGCCTGGTGGACGATCAGCTCATATGTGCCCTCTGTAAGCTGGTAGGGCGTCACAGAGACCACCAGGTGTCCTCGCTCACAGATCGCTTTGACAAGCTCAAGGTTAGTGCTGAATTTATGCTTCACAGCAAATGCAGAACTCCCCCTATTATATGTTGTTAAACTTTGTTGGGATGGTACAGTAACTCTAAATCAAGTGCATACCCAGAATTTTCACTCTCAAATTTTATTTTGCATGATATAACAGTTTTGATCAAGACAGTTCACAAAAAGACTATAAAAAGAGATAGTGGGAGTGATTCTCTGGCATGGAGAGGAAACACAGATGAAGAACTATTGGGAGGGCCCTCATTATGATAGTCATTGAGCTTGCATTCCCCGTGGCCACTGAGCTTTCACAGGCTCTGTTTAAAAAGCGGTATTGCTGAATCAGGCTGAAAACAACAGAGGAAGGCAACAGTGAGTGCTAATTCCACTTCTAAAGCCCTAAAGCAGTGAGCTGGCACCAATCAACTTTTATCTGTATTGTTTACAAAGCATAGGAACATGCTGTATCTGTGAGCAACTGTTTTTAGAGTAGCTTCAGTAAAAACTGGTTAGTTTTCATCTTTAATTATTCTCTGCAAGATTTAAACAGCTGTTTAAGCAAAGATATAGTTACACAGAGGTGATCTTAAAAAAAAGCCCGTAAAATTGTGTCGGTAATGATCGCTTGTTAACCGACATATCACTTTTTTGTATAGTGATTTTATTAGATGTGGAGATAAGACACAGTGGGAATCTACATTTCCATATTATGAAACAGAAAAAGAAAACCTCTTCCACTGACGAGAAAACATAATAATGGTAGAGTTAAGTATCATCTCACTGTTAAAGGATGTTGTATAGAAGCATGGTAATAAAAAGTAAAGCACAAGAAAAATGTTTTGAATAAAAGGTAATTAACAGAGAGGCAACACAGATAAGCACAGCCTTGGGAAGACTGTGAAGCATGATCAATTCTAGAGTTGGAGGAGACTTACAAGCTATTGATTGCGGCTGGAGTCAGTTCACCTCAATCAGACATATAACTGTCCCAGTTTTTGATATATTAATCTGTTTCTAGAAAATTAAAATAATCAGAATGCAAAGAATTATAGTCATTTGTCATTGTATTGGATGGATGGATGGATGGATGGATGGATGGATGGATGGATGGATGGATGGATGGATGGATGGATGGATGGATGGATGGATGGATGGATGGATGGATGGATGGATGGATGGATGGATGGATGGATGGATGGATGGATGGATGGATGGGTAACAGTTAGGGTCCTCATTATTAACCTTAGTATTTTTGTTATTTCTTTTTTTTCATACATTAATTTGCTCCATTATTTTGTCTTCATCTCTGAAACTTTTATTTAACATGTTTTATTTTGCAAAGGAAATTACTTTTACTATGTCTTGGTTATTGTGTATTGTGTAGTGCAAAGATCAAATGGACACTTTACTAATGTAGAGCTCTATGGCATGTTTTTGCTTAGAAAACTGCAGATGCTTATTTGATCATCTAAACATTTTACCATTCTCCAGCAGGAAACAATCGCTGCACCAGTTTAATGGCAGTGTATGAATTTTACATTGTTTAGTGTGTAGAAAAAACTTAATCTCAATGGGTTTTTGGGGGAACAAAGCAGCTGTAATTCTGTCTGCATCTCAAGCATCCTTTTCATTTGGGTGAATATGCGCTCTTGTGTCCTACATTATTGATGCTCTAAGAACTACAAATGTCACCTTCAGTTTTGTCTACTAAACCCTTGCTCAGCACCTCTCACAGCATAGGGCTTCGTTTCTCTGCTGTTAGTCCCCTTGTTCTCTCCAGGCTCTGGGAAGGGCTACTGTAAGTTGTTTGCAGTTCCCATCTTTTCCCTCCATTTCCTTGGCTGGCTGCGGTTCTTTTGAACATTGCCCAGGCTTTGCCTTTGAACTTCTTTGACTTTGAATCTACCCCAAATTTAGGAGGAGAACTACCCAATTCAAAGTTCCAGTTAACTCACCAGTGGCAGTTGGAGCTATTTTTGAAGTTTATAACCACTACCAGTTGCAAGTGTTTTCTTCTTGCTCTACTTTCATTACAGACAGAACTTGAAACCTCCAAATGACGTAATTTATTTATAAATCCAGCCTTCCTGTTTCCTCCTTAAAGCGTTGCTCTCCAGCTGCCTGAAGGAGAGACATGTCTTGAGATCTCTTGATAGAAAACATGATTTCCTTATAAATACCTCCTTATATCTTCAGGGCGATATTGCTGCAGATTATCTGATTCCAATTTTTACCTGGTTTATTCATATATCACTTGGAAGATTTAATGATTTTTATCTCCGTGTTTGACTCTTGGCTTACTATTTTAATCTTTGATCACCTTTGAAATCAACCCCTCTGTTTGTGGAAGCTCCTTACAGCCACACTGTCACTATGATTTAGGTCTCATTAAAGGAAAAGTTAAGCTCCCCTTAGGCAGAAAATGGATGTTTCAGGAGTGAAAATGTCAACAAGTGCTAAATGTGGCTCACACTGTAAGGAGGTGAGTTTTTTCTATACTCAGCTGCTAAGCAGAGCTCTTTTTAGACAGGCAGAAAAATTGGTCTCAGATGTTTGGGAGACCTCTGTCTTAGTGTTATACTTTGAAATGCTAAAATCGAAGATGCTTCAAGGAGCTTCTCTAAAGATTGTTTGGCTGTTTTTAGAAAATCAGGTTAATTAAAGTCCCTACCAGTCAAGGCACGGAGTAGAATTGAATATCTCATCACACATTCTTTGCAAGCGCCTGATTTGAGCTCATTAAAATGTAATTAAGAGCAATTTTGGGGCTGCCTAACTATTCCTTTTGGAGGCATGCTATAGGAAACCAAGAAAAGTGTATGTGCTACTTGTATAAGTTTGATATACTGGCTTGTATCTGTGCACAAATCTTCATAATTGAAAAATTCAGTACATCAGGTTAAAGAATTAGTATGTCCTTGGTTTGATTTGATTTTCATTCTCCCGTCTCCCTATTTTTTTATTCATTTCTTTATCTCTATATAACGGCATTTTAAACCTTACATAAACACAAAAGTATTCATAACCGTTGGACTTTTGTTTGCTTTATAATAGTTTAGCCATAACTATTATGGTGGTATTTCAAATTGGAACAGGAAGGACATGTGCTTTTAAATGTATTTTAGAAACAAATAAGGGAAAAAATTCACAAAATCTTACTTTTTCTCTGTCTTTAGCTTAACTTGATACTTTGTAGAACCACATTTTGCTGACCTAAACTTGGAAATAAATTGTTATCCAAGTTTTGCCATATCAGTCCTACTCATGTTGTTGACTGCAGAATAGACCAATCTCAATCTCCATTAGATTGGAGAGATTTGATTTAAACCAATCCGCTATAGACCTTTGTGTGTATTTCTGAGTTGTTTTCCTGCTAAATGTAGAAATTTTGCCCCAGTTTTGAATCCCTGCTGAATAAAAAAGCATCCCCAAAGCATGATGCTGCCATCATTATGTTTCACCACATGGATTGTGGATTTTCAGCAACTGAGTTCTTGTTGACACTTTAGCATTAAGTGAAGGAAACCACTTATAGCTGTCATGACAACGTATTATAACTTCTCTGCAGCTTCCCTTAAAATCTGTCATTTCTGTGCAGCTTCTCAGATTGATGCTGTTTTTGGTCAATTGTTCATGTTAGATGCATGGACCTGAAATAGTAGATTGACACGTTTTACTCTTTGTGAGATGAATTGAGGAGCTCTCTGTGAGATGTTCATAGTGTAGCTTGTGATAGTTTATGACTCGTTTCTTTTGAACATGGCCCAACCTAGGGCTTTGAACTTCTCTGAATTTGAATCTAGCCCAAATATGCACCCCACATCATGGCCAACCTGCGCTTGATGCTCCATAAACAGAACATTTATTGAGTATCCATGCAAATTTAAATTGAAACTACATCTAAAGAAAATAAACTGCAGTAATAATAATGACTTTAGAACATTGTCTGCTCCTCATCGATCTTCATCTACTTTTTATTTACAAATGTTTTCTACATCATTCAACTATTAGCTATTATTATAGATGAGATTCCGAAGTGATGATTGTTGATTTCTAATTGGATCACCCCTCTTCCTGGATTTTATGTCCAGACAGTAAAGTGCAGAAATGCTTTAGTGTTTTATCTGTATCCATTTAAAAATCTAGGAAGAAGCTGAAGAGTTTTACTTTTGATTTATATTTATGAAAATGCTTACGTTTAGAGGAGCATTGCATAAATTCCAGAGTTTTTACAGAAGTTTAATCTCTCTGGTGACAAGTTAAAATGGCACCAGCATTGCGAATGCACATGGGAGAAGAGGAAAAGCATCATAGTCTGCTGCTGCTGCAACTGCAAAGGAATCTTGTTCACTTTATTTATTTATTTTTTTTAGCTAAAATAAGGCAAAATGCTGGACCCTTCATTCTTAGGGTAGATCTGAACTCAAAGCTGTATTTATGCTCTTCTTATTCTGTCAGTGATTAGGCCCCAATTTGACAAAAGCCCTGTACTAGAAACAAACTTAAGTTTGTTTGAAGTAATAGCACAAAAATTGCATCAAAACAAATGCAATACCTGATATAGCCCGGTTGCATCACTGTAGTCTGTGTCAAGAAATAAAAATACCCACCCTGTAGTTGGTCTGTGACTGTCAAAAACCCACATTATGATGGCTCAGTGTCTCCCTGCCTGGTAGATTTATTTATTGATGAAGGCTGGGTCACACCTCTTGCATTCAACTCTGCAACAACCAATGCAACCCCCCCCCCCCCCCCCCCCCCCCCCCCCCCCCCCCCCCCACTCATACTACACAGAGAATGACCAGGTGTCCTTGTTTCTGTGGGACTGCGCCTCATTTGTCATTTCTAACCTGGTTTCCCACATACTTAGACAATGTCCCACATTTCAGTGGGTCACATTTTTGTACAATAAAAATAATCATTCAACACCTGTTTATTAGCTCCACCAAGGGGGTCATGTTTTTAGTCAAGTTTGTGTTTGTTTTTCTGTCTGTGTACATGATAACTTAAAAAGT